ATAACATGTTCAAAAGACTCATTATGCCTGATAGAATATACCTTGTGATGTTTGCTTTCCAAAATGGGGTCATTTTGTGGGTGTTTCCATGGTCCTGGTGCTCCACGGCCTTCAAAACTGTGATAGGTAGTCAGGAAATTAGATGTGTATTTTATGCTCCTAGAATGCATGAAGGTACTACTTGGATGTTGGGTCTCTGGATGTGGCCAAGCTGTGGAAAAGTCTCACACATGTGGTATCGCCATACTCAGGAGTAGCAAAATGCATTTTGGGGCATAATTCTTGGTATGTCCATGCTGAGTGTTAGAAACGTCTTATAAATTGACAACTTGTGTGAAAAAAAAGAAGTTTTTATTTTTCTTTCCACATTTACTAAAAAAAAAAAAAAAAAAAAAAAAAAAAAAAAAAACATTTTGAAAACAAAAACATGTTTAAAAGACTCATTTTGCTGATAAAATATACTTTTGGATGTTTGCTTTCCAAAATGGGGTCATTTTGTGGGTGTTTCTATCGTCCTAGTGCTCCAGGGCCTTCAAAACTGTGATAGGTAGTCAGGAAATTAGATGTGTAATTTATTCCCCTAAAACGTGTGAACTTGCTGCTTGGACATTGGGTCTCTGTATGTGGCCAGGTTGTGGAAATGTCTCACACCTGTGGTATCACTATACTCAGGAGGTGTAGCAGAATGTGTTTTGGGGTGCAATTGCAAGTATGTCTATGCCAGGTGTGAGAAATAACTTGTTATTTTGACAGTTATGTGTGGAAAAACAAAAATAATTTCTTCATTTTCCAAAGAATTGTGGGAAAAAATTACAACTTCAAAAAACTCACCATGTCTTTTACTAAATACTTTGGACTGTCTATTTTCCAAAAAGGGGTCTTTTGGGGGCTATTTGTACTTTCCTAGTATGTTAGGGCCTCGAGAAATGAAATAGGCCATCAGTGCCTCAGGTGTGATCAATTTGCAATGATTGGTGCCATAGCTTGTAGACTCTATAACTTTCACACAGACTAAATAATATACACTGATGTGGATTTTTTTTACCAAAAGGTATGTAGCAGTATACATTTTTGGCTAAATTTATGAAGAAAAATTACTTATTTGCAAAATTTTATAATAGAAACAAAGAAACCCTTATTTTTCAAAATTTTCGGTCTTTTTTCATTTATAGTGCAAACAATAAAAAAACCCATGGGATTAATTGATTAATTGCCACCAAAGGAAAGCTCTATTTGTGGGAAAAAAATTATAAAAATGTCATATGGGTACAATGTTGCATGGCCACGCAATTGTCAAAGTGTGACAGCACTAAAAGCTGAAAATTGGCCTGGGCATGAAGGGGGTAAAAGTGCCCTGTATGGAAGTGGTTAAATATACTTTTTGTTTTTGTCCAAACCATTTTAAAGAAAAAAAATAAATATATAGAAAATCACCATGTGACCCTTTAAGCAACTTTTAAAGTGACGCTAAACTCTGGCTTAAAAAAGAAAATATTCTATTCAGGCATATATTCTTAAAAAAATACCTTCTATTGCAAGCAGCCTCTTCCAAAATCTTTTTTTGTTTTGCTGTGATGAATTAATGACTTTGACTATAGGCTTTGTAGTGTGCATAAAGCAGTGCTCATGACCACAACTAATGTGCACGACTCGCTCACAACAAACAGAAGTGAGAGAGAAAACAAGAGGTTTGGGAGTCCATTCAAGACATAACAAGGAGGCAGAAGAACATTATAGGAAACAAAAATTATAACTGTGTAGCAAAATATACTTTATTAAAGCACAATTTTCTTTTTAATATAGTCAATATAGTTAACTCATAGTATGTTAAAGTAACGCTCCTATAATACAGACTAACATGACAAATTAGAGTTTTTTCTACGTAAAATCCTTTTCCCTGAGCCTATTGAGAGACACAGCTTGACGATCATTCAACAACCTGTTTTTTGTTTAACCTGTGGTGGTGCACAAAAACAAAACCCCTGTAAGTAAACAAAAAAAGCACATGTGAAAAAATACACACAAAAAAGTACACTTAGGGGTGTGTCTCTAGTCCACCTCCAGACAAAAGGACCCTTCCCTGACCATGCAAGGCTCTTGACAGGGGCAAGGCACACTCATGGTCCACCTGACCAAAAGACCTGGTGGGCTCCTCTCCTCATGGTCACCCGAAGCTGACCATCGAGTATAAGGTGAAGAAGAGAGGCCCCTGATTCAGAGGAGGAGGGAATTTGATGGCCAGCCCTTTAAGAGGTTATAAATGCCTGGTGGTGGAGGAGGCAGGCATTCTGATCTGATTCCGGCTGTTGGGAACAGATTGGTACAGAAGATTCCAGAGACTGCTTTCTGCCTCTGCCCAGCTGAGTGTATGACAGTGGCCTGGGCGCCGTCCACCAAGCCTCTTCCTTGCTCACTGGGGCCTAGAAACACCTCAGGTTGGAGTTTTTGGGTTACCTTCTGAATAGCAGGCTGCGAACACTGATTGAGATTTTGCTGTATGTGTTGTTTCTTTGCTTAGAGTTGCTAAGAGTGATAATTGTCAATTCATACACATATACCACTTTATGCTGTTTGACAGTCAAGTTTAATATAAACATCATATCAGTTCATGTCAATCTGTGAGTCTATTTTCTGGTGATAATTTACTTTGTTCAGAAGAGTACTGTGGTGGCAGCAGGGGTTGGGCTTTCAGAGAGGGGTCCAGAACAACAGGGAGCCCAAATATAACTCAGCGAATCCTAAGGGGGTAGTGCTACATATATATGTATCCAGAAATAGGATATTTTAACTGGGACCCAGACATGAAGCTATATGAAGGGTGGAGGTGGATAAAAATATTTTACATCAAAGTAGTACTAACAGCTGAGACTTTTTTTGCACGGATATCATTTTAAATATATTGTACAATACTGGTAAATTTAATTGTGATGCCTTATATTAACTCCAGGCTATCAGCCTCCAGCTTCTCTGGGTTTAGATGCTGATCTTCCTTGCACAGAATCCTTAAAGTGATTGTAAACATTAGATTTTTTTTTTTTTTAACAAACCTGTCATACTTACTGTACTTGCCCTGTGCAATTGTTTTGCAGAGCATCTCCGAGCTTTCTCTTCTGTGGTCCCCCATGGACATTTCTGGCTCCACCTGCCTTCAGAGTGCCCCTAAGCACACTGCAAAGTATAGTATAGAATGCCCCTACAGCAAGAATCACTTTTTTTTTTTCTCCTGCCAGAGAGTACATGTGTGAGGAGCAATGCCTCAGGGGACATTCACATTCAGTTTTCAGGCACTTACTGACATGTATGGAAGGCGTACCAAGCTGTATGCATGCTGCACTGTATGCCTTAATATGTAAACAAATAATGCCTTCTGTATGCTGGCCAACTAATAGATAATGAAAATAGTCAACAACTATTTTTAGAAATATGTTGATTAGTTGTTTAAGCCCTATATGGGTCAAAGTTTTGCAGAGACCGGCTGAATTTCAATCTACGTATGGGTATCCTGATTGTACTGAAGTCAAATGATAGACCACTTATTTTTTTTTTTTCCAATAGATCAATGCCGCCGCATATGGCTGGCAACACTGATCATTGTACTCGGACAGCGTGGAAGGTTCCCCGCCATCAGAACAAAATAGATCACCGAGAATGATTCTCTCATCCACTTCAAATGTGTAGATGGGGGAATTTTCATTTTCTTTTTTTTCATTGAACCAGTGGGTATGATGCATGGTCTATCGAAATCCACTTCTTTATTCACTCTATGCTCATGATCGTACTGCCACCCACAGCATTAATGCTTTAACCAAGTTTGCTATAGCCTGCAGTGGTGATCATGAGGAAATTTTCCAACAAGCTAGTTGTACAGAAGTCGATTGGTAGATCAACTAGTGGACAACCTGCCTGCCCATTCCTGGATCAAAACTCAGCCAGTCCCTGCTGAAATGTGATCCATGTATGGCTGGTTTTCATTTTTAAGGGGTTCATATATATTTCATATCTGCTCAAGAAGGCTCAGCAGCATTTTCTTTTTAGGAATTTAGGATGCAACAAACTTTCTAAAGAAGGTGATGTTAAATTTTTCCCACTGTACAATAGAGAGCATTTGAACCTATTGCTGTAGATTTTGGTTTTCTAGTTCTACAAAGACTGAGAAAAGATTTGCAAAGGGTGGTTAACCACTTGCACTCCTGAGGATTTATCCCCCTTCCTGACCAGGCCATTTTTTGCGTTACTTTCACTGACAATTGCGCGGTCATGCAACTCTGCACCCAAATGAAAATGAGTCTTTCACACAAATTGAGCTTTCGGTGGTATTTGATTGCCTGTGCAGTTTTTATTTTTGGGCTATAAAAAAAAAAAGCGACAATTTTGAGGAAAAATATTTTTTTTTTTACTTTTTGCTATTAAACATGTCCAGTAAAAACATTTTTCAAAAATCAAATTTCATCATAAGTTTAGGACAAAATGTATTGTGCTACATCTTTGCTAAAACAAAAAACAAATTCCAATACGTATAAATTAACTGGTTTACATGCAAGTTATAGTGTTTACAAACAGCAGTATATTTATTGAGATTACTTTTTTTTTTTTTTTTACTAGTAATGGCGGCGATCAGCGACTTATAGCAGAACTGTGGCGGACATTCTGACGGGGGGGGGGGGGGGAACCTATTTGGTGTCAGTGACACCAATACAGTGACCAGTGCTTAGAAAGACAGACAGAAAAAAAAAAAAAAAAAAAAGAGCAGACGCCATACTAAAAGCACTGGGCAAGAAGGGGTTAACATGAGGGGGCGATCAAAGGGTTAACTGTGTGCTGGGTGTGTTATTGTGGGGCGGTGTCTGTGTGCTTCACTGTAAGCACACTGCTTTGGATGACTGCACAGTCATCCAAAGCAGTGTGCCGAAGCTGACAGGGAGAACTGTTAGTAAACAAAACAGTTCTCCTCCCCGTCGGAGATCCTTGGTAAACACTGGCTGGGATCCGGTGATTGACAGCTGTGGCTGCGTATGGCAGCAAGTACCCCTACCTGGAAATGCAAAATCACGTATATATTACACACACGGTTTTGCACACCCATGCCACCCCGTAGCAGTATTTCTGCTATAGGGCGGTCGGGAAGTGGTTAAGATGGCTCAGTGGTTTATTGGGTCCCCATTTCAAAGTTTGTGCGATATCTATCTGAGCCATCTTTACAAACAAGTGGCAAATATTATGAGAAATGTTACACGTCCTGGACATTTTTGGTTCTCTACACTCCTCAGACTTAAAACAATACAGGCTTGCACTAATAGGTTGTGGAACAGTTTTATTTCCTAGATAAACTGTCAAAGCAATGTCAGTTTGAAGTGGTGTTTTTAACTAGTTGCCGACCGCAGATAGCCGAATTATGGCTGCACTGCGGCTGGCCAGTTCTGGGTGGACGTCATATGACGTCCTCCCACAACGCGCTCTACTGCGCGCATCCGTCGATCTCCATGATCGCTGTGTCCTACGGACACAGCTGATCACGTGATGTGGTAAAAGGCCAATCACAGCAGCCTTTTACCATGTGATCAGTCATGTCCAATGACACGCTGATCACAGGCAAAATGCAATTGCCGGTTTTCAGCTGCACTTTCCTCACGCTGTCAGAGCGCGAAGAAAGTACTGCCGAGAACCGGCAGTTGTCAGAGCAGGGATCGGCACCGATCATCAGGGCACTGATGATCAGTGCCCTGATGATCGGTGCCGCCCCAAAAGGTGCCACTCACCTGTGCCCACCAGTCAGTGCTATCAGTACCCATCAGTGCCACCTATCCGTGCCACCTCATTAGTGCTGCCTCATCAAAACGCACATCAGTGAAGGAGAAAAATTACCTGTTTGCTAAATTTTATAGAAACAAAGAAACTTTTTTTTGCACTTTTTTTATAGCACAAAAAGAAACACCTAGCAGTGAGTAAATACCACCAAAAGAAAGCTCTATTTATGAGAAAAAATGATAAAAATTTCAGATGGGTATAATCTTGCATGACTGCGCAATTGTCAAAGTGTGACAGCGCTGAAAGCTGAAAATTGGCCTGGTAAGGAAGGGGGTATAAGTGCCCTGTAGGCAAGTGGTTAACCTCTTGCCGACTGCGCATAGCCGAATGACGGCTTCACCGCGGCCGGCCAGTTTTGAGTAGACGTCATATGACGTCCTCCCAGAACGCGCTCTCCTGCGCGCCCCAGGGGTGCGCACCCGGCGATCTCCGTGATCGCTGTGTCCTACGGACACAGCTGATCACGTGATGTGGTGAAAGGCCGATCCCACCGGCCTTTTACCACGTGATCAGCGGTGTCCAATGACACGCTGATCACAGGGAAATGCAAGTGCTGGTTCTCGGCTGCACTTTCCTCACGCTGTCAGATCGTGAGGAAAGTACTGCAGAGAACTGGCAGTTGTCAGAGCGGGGATCGGCACCGATCATCAGGGCACTGATGATCAGTGCCCAGCAGTGACACCCGCAAGTTCCGCCCAGCAGTGCGCCCACTAGCCCCGCCCACCCGTTCCCAGCAGTGCCCCCCACCTGTGCCACTCTGCAGTGCCACCCACCTGTGCCCACCAGTGCCACCCACCTGTGCCCACCCACCAGGGCTGCCCACCAGTGCAGCCCAGCAGTGCAGCCAGTCAGTGCCCAGGGGTTGTGCCAGTCAGTGCCGCCAGTCAGTGCCCAGAAGTGATGCCAGTCAGTGCCGTCTATCAGTACCCATCATCAGTGTCACCTATCAGTGCTGCATATCAGTGCCGCCTATCCGTGACCCCTAATTAGTGCTGTCTATCAGTGCCGCCTATCCGTGCCACCTCATTAGTACTGCCTATCAGTGCCCTTTAGTGCTGCCTATCAGTGCCCATCAGTGCCGCCTATCAGTGCCCATCAGTGCCGCCTCATCAACGCAAATCAGTGAAGGAGAAAAAATACCTGTTTGAAAAATTTTATAAAAGAAATAAACTTTTTTTTTTTCAAATTTTTTGCACTTTTTTTAATTTATAGCGCAAAAAGTAAAGCGCCCAGTGGCGATTAAATACCACCAAAAGAAAGCTCTATTTGTGAGAAAAAAATGATCAAAATTTCATATGGGTACAATGTTGCATGACCGCGCAATTGTCAATCAAAGTGCGGCAGCGCTGAAAGCTGAAAATTGGCCTGGTAAGGAAGGGGGTATAAGTGCCCTGTAGGCAAGTGGTTAATGTAATAATAATAATTGAAGTGTAAGAGTTGTTGGTTTTAGAATGCATTTTTAAGTTTTATTTATTAAGACTATATGTTGCTATGTGAAGGACACTGATGTCAAACTAAGGGCTCTCAGTCTAGATCCGTCTGTCAGTTTTTCAGACAGATCCAGACTATACCACAATGTAGGTCTATGAGTCAGTGAATGTAAATGGATGATCATTCATTTACATCAGCCTACATCCATGTTCCTTTCAGGTATGATGATTTTTTTTGTTTTAAACAAAACAAAGCTACATCTTCAATTTAGATCGAACTAAAGGATGCTGTCCTCCAATATTAATTCCATTAATGTCCTTTTTAGGCAAGAAACATTTTATTTATACTTTTGCGTCTTGATTGGTTTCTGCTACAACAAAAAAAAAACAAATGTAGACTGATTTAAACTGAACAGAACTGACCTGAAGTGAGAACTAAAAACTGATGTAAACTGTATCTGTTTTTGTCTTCGCAAAAAAGTGGCTAAACGGATGACATCCATGTGAAAGGACCTTATAGTTTTGCTGTGTTTTAAATAATCGAATTTTCTATTTGAGTAGAATGCACAGACAGTTAGAAAATAAAGAGGTGCCATCTGTTTTGATGAGAAAACTGCTGATGGAAATTCACTTGGTGGGAACACATCCCCAAAGGAAGTGAAGTATGCGGTGAGCAGCAACAAGTCCAATTCTACTGAGGAAGGAGGCAGTATAATATAAAACGGAACCTTTAGAATCGCTTTAACCGTTAAATTCCCAGCATGCTGGGAACAGTAACTGTCACATTTGCTTGTGTTTGCAACCAAACTGTAAACCCATCAAATGGCTGGTGTCATAACTGATCACATGTGCTACACCATGGCAGTTGCAGACCAGAGACTAAGATGGCAGCCACTTGATCACTTCTGCAGGTGACAGAAGGGGGCCACCCAACCCCTTCCATGGGCTCTACCGTCCGATCATGGAACACGGGAGCTATGCGAAAGGCGGTGACAGGTGCACTACAGGACATTATTCCTCCCTTTCTGTGATCCCAGAAACAGCGAGGATTTCGTCACTTCTGGTTTTGGCTCTTGGTTTACCTGTTGCTGTTAGCATCCAAGAAAGCAGCTGATCAGACATAACTGATTGGCTGCATTGGAGGCCAGAAGAAACATATAAGTCCCCCCATGCAAATGTAAGTCCCGCATGCAAACTGGGATCACACTGCACTTCTGAGGTATTGTCATGAACATCAGAGCAATAATTCTAATGCCAAACCTCTAAACTGGTAACCTGTAAAAGTTGCCTATGAAGAATGTTAAGTACTGTAGTTTGGCACCTTTCCATGGGCATACGCAAATTTAAAGCATGATGTTAGGAGTTTATTTACTCGGCATAACTTTTTTTTTTTTTACTAAAAAAATTGATTATATTGTGTTTGTGTGCAATAAAATTAGTGTATTTTTCCCAAACAAATACCATGCGACATACAGAATTGTAACACCCATAATTTTACATGTTTGGGGGGTTCTATTTAATTTTCTAGCAAAAAAATTAAAAAATAATGTAGATTTTCACATGCATCAAGAAGTGTCAGAATTGGCCCAGTAGGCAAGTGGTTAAGGTTTATTGGTTCATATTTGTTGGATTTTTGACACCTTTAAACACTTCCTGCTGGGCCTTAATGCTGAGCGGTTGCATATATGTGGCGCTGTGTAAACAACTTACCATGCTGAGAGTGCGCACTCTCAGCACGGTAGCTGGTGAGTAATCAGTAAGCACCAGTTGAATACTTGCAAACAAACTGGAGCTTTCTGATCAGGTTACCACTGACAGCCAAATAACAGTGGTCACATGATCCAAATGCCAACCTCCCGACTTTTTGAACTGTTAAAGGGCTGGAAGGCAGTTAGTGGGAAGAGTTAAAGATCTATGTCTTTACATACCTGTAATGGTATGTCTACTTTACTAAAAGATGTAAACAAAATGTTATGTGATAAAAAGCATTACACAGTATACTTATTCAAACCAATGATTTACAAGCAAAAAAAATTCAAGATGGATAATTCTATAAGATATGAGAGTCAAGAAACTCGTGGTCTTTAAAGTGGATCTCAACCCTAAATGGGAAGTTCCACTTTTAAAAATTCTCCTCCCCCCCTCTCCTCTAATACTGGAGGTTCATTTCTTGTTTTGGGGGAGGGGGTTGATAGAGGGTACCCAGTTTTGGTAGGGATCTTCTTCCAATTCTGCTGGAATCACCTAGGCGATCCCACCAGAAGTTATCCCGCCCTCAACCTCTTGGGACACATCACAGGTCCCAAGAGGCTGCGGGACCATTCACAAAGCACAGTGCCACTTGTGCATGTGCGGTATGAAGCCACAAGGCGTTACAGCCAGCTTACCAGCACCAGGGACCCAAAGACCAGCGAAGAACCTGCTCAGGTGAAGACCACACTGGATCCCTGGACAGCGGATTTTGCTGTTGAAGGTCATGCTTCCAAAACTGGTACCAATTACACATTCACAAATACAGCTATAGAAGGAAAATGAAGACACTGATAACATGAATAAAACAAATTTTTAATGTACAGCAGAAATTGGACAGCTTTTTATATTAACAAAAGATTTTCTATCATACATTATATTTACAATTGCATACTGAGGAGGTAAAGTGTCTAAGTGGTTCTTTTACAGTTCTTTCCAATACAATGAAAACCTGGATGGTAAGAGAAGTACCAAATTCAGCTCTTCTAGAGCCAACACTGCACAGCCAGTGTGGCAACAACTTTTTGTATCTGACTACAATACATAATATCTCTCCCAAAACGCTAAAAAGGATTGCTTTAGAAGTCAATTCAAAAACACTTCACTGCATTTTATGATCAACAAAGTCCAACCTATCCCTGAAAAGG